ACTGGAACTGGAGTCCTGCAGCAAATGGTTAGTAGACAACAAACTATCATTACACCTAGGGAAAACTGAAGCCATTCTCTTTGGCACGAAACATAAACTGAGAAGGGTAAATAATTTTAATGTTCAATGTAATGGGGAGCCCATCACTTTGGTTTCATCAGTAAAATATTTGGGAATCCCCTTTGACCCATGCATGTCAGGAGAATTGATAGGGAACAGTGTAGTAAAGAAAGCGAATGCCAAACTGAAGTTCCTGTATAGACAAGCACAGTGTCTACCTACTGAGGCTCGCAGGACCCTATGTCTAGCCCTTATACAATGCCATATGGATTACGCTTGCTCTTCATGGTACTCTGCCTTGACAAAAAAACTGAAAGATATACTGCAAATCACCCAGAACAAAATCGTAAGATTCATCCTGGGGCTGGGACCAAGAGAGCATGTAGGCCAGGATGAATTACAGCAGTTGGATATGCTGAATGTTGAGACAGAGTAAAACAACTGAAGCTAAATCATGTTTATAAAATTGCTCACGAACAGTGTCCAGAATATCTTGCTGTCAATTTTGTCAAGGTTGGGAACCAAAGCAATCATAGTACTAGGGGGAGAGAACACAACTTTGTAGTAGCCACAGTCAGTGGCCAGGCTTCAAACACCTTTTATTGTACAGCAATAAAGGAATGGAACAGACTACCTGCACATGTCAAAGCCAGTCATAGCATGAACCAGTTCAAGAAGAGTGCCAAAAGGTGTCTGATGAATGTAGCTACAGAAAGGGAGGGGAATGATTTTCTATTTTTTAGCTAACATACGTGTAAATTTTACCTTATTCCTTGTAATGACCCTCGTATTGTAGATAGTCTTAATGACCTTGGTGTAGCAGATAGTCTTTTTAGTATGATAATAAGATGTTATCTTCATTGTAGAATAATAAGAAAATATTATAACCTTTATATTATAATAATAAGGTAAAAGGACCACAATGGAAATAAGTCACTCTGTCTGACTTTTTTGTGTTATCCCAGGTTCTCCACACATATGCTGCTATGTATGATAATTCTATGTAACTGTATTTGTGTATACCTCAATAAACTTACTTACTTACTTACTTATTCCTTGTCAATAACGCCACACTTTACCGAGATAAGAGAATTCGATACCATTGATAGATTTTGATTATCTATTTGAATCTGTTTGCTAATAGTCAGCAATATGCAAAATTAATGGTGACTGTGTCACTGCTGTAAGGGCAGGGGGTATGGGCACCATACTATGCAACCCAGACAACACTTGCGTCACTGACAACGACAACATGCTCAGTGCCAAGCACAGGAAAGGTTGAGACAGGGAATGTGAGACAGGGAATGTGAGACAGGGAATGTGAGACAGGGAATGTGAGACAGGGAATGTGAGACAGGGAATGTGAGACAGTGAATGTGAGACAGGGAATGTGAGACAGGGAATGTGAGACAGGGAATGTGAGACAGGGAATGTGAGACAGGGAATGTGAGACAGGGAATGTGAGACAGGGAATGTGAGACAGTGAATGTGAGACAGGGAATGTGAGACAGGGAATGTGAGACAGGGAATGTGAGACAGGGAATGTCAGACTCACCTAGCTGAGATTGCCGGGGGTCGAGGCATGGATCCTGACCCCACTTGTTGACATCCTTCTCTTCACATATATAATGCCCCACACAGACACAGGCGGGTATATACAGAGAAAGATCGCAGTCAGCAGGACTCGATTCCACTATGGGAGACTGGCAAGGTTCCCAAGTGACGCTCTTATCCGCTCGGCCACAAATGCCTGGTTCACAAGCCACGTTTCTTCCCTGCCCGGGCACGTCAGTGGGCCTCAAGTATGGTTTCAAGCTATTTCAGTGTCCTCCTGTATGTTCTGACCTTACAAGCGATTTTTATACCAATACACCATGCAGAAACAAGCGGGTATATCCGAGTGTGACTTTAGAACCTCGCCCGTCTCCCTATGGTGCGATCGAGTCCTGCTGACTGCGATCTCTCTCTGAGAGAGGTGCTGGCGGGTGTCACTCACACTACCATACTCTGAGAAAACCTTCCCTCATTTCTCCTGTTGCTACCTTCCCAACATTACACAGCTATGTTGATGCACTGAGAAGTGTGAAAGTACTTGAGCTAAGGATTTCCATCCCCCGTGGCTTGTCTTGCATTAAGATAACCTCTCTGTGATTGATTATAATATATATATATATATATATATATATATATATATATATAATATAATATATATATATATATATATATATATATAATATATATATAATATACAAATTTTTTGAACAGTTCAACACAAGGCTACAATATCACTAAAAATAGCGACAAGACACTCTAAGCCTTTCACCCTACATCTCAGCGTTATCAGGAGCTTCGTATAACGAGGAATGGAAAAACGAAAGTAAAAACGGGTCCAGAAATCCACTAGGAGAACTAACCAGTTAATAATAATTTTACAAGAGAAATATTTTGTGTGGTTAACTGGTGGCCGACGCAATCTGTGGCGGGCAGAGTCAACATTACTGTAATATTCTCAGTGTACGAAGAACGTAAACAGTACTAACACTTACAGAGTAAATTATGTGAATTTAAGATTGTTTTCACCAGTGTGAAATATTCCCAGCACCAGGAATGTAAGTCTCACTGTTCACCAGTCATTTATTTGCTTAGGTTATGGTAAGCTGGGTTGGGATAGGATGGGTTGGCTTGGGTTAAGGTGGGTTAGAATGATGGGAGAATGTTGAAAATCTTACGATTCTTACACTTATTGTATTAATTCTCAGGTGTACTCAGGACGTCTCTGCTTCTCGTTTGGGAGTATTTTGCATCATCTGCCGAACCTCTTGCTTTGGTTGAGAGTGATTTGTGTGTGCAGATTTGGGATCAACTACTATGGTTTGGTTAACCTGGTTTGAGCTTGATTAGCAGTTTAACCTTACCTAACCTAATCATCCACCTAAAAACATATTTTTAACAATTTTGCCCTTGAGAAACCCATCCACTTCAAAAACCATAGTGAGACTCAGGTTAGAGTATGTAAGCGAGAGGGAGATTATTTCCCAGTAGAAGACCTTAGACAGGGATGAGTGATGTCACCATGGTTGTTCAATATATTTAGAGGTGGAATTGTAAGAGAAGTGAATGCTCGGGTGTTGGAAAGACGTGTGGGGTTAAAAGATAAAGAATCTAACACAAAGTGGTTGCCACAGTTGCTCTTTGCTGATGACACTGTGTTTTTGGGAGATTCTGAAGAGAAGTTGCAGAGATTGGTTGATGAGTTTGGAAAAATGTGTAAAAAATTAGGTAAAGACTGTGCAGGCGATGCAAAATGCCCCCAATAAAAAGTAGGGGCGCCATTGGTACACTAAGAGAAAACACCATAAGTGTCCGGGGCCCAAAACTGTTCAACAGCCTCCCATCAAGCATTAGGGGAATTGCCAATAAACCCCTGGCTGCCTTCAAGAGAGAGCTGGACAGATACCTAAAGTCAGTGCCGGATCAGCCGGGCTGTGGCTCGTACGTTGGACTGCGTGCGGCCAGCAGTAACAGCTTAGTTGATCAGGCCCTGATCCATCGGGAGGCCTGGTCATGGACCGGGCCGCGGGGGCGTTGATCCCCGGAATAACCTCCAGGTAACCTCCAGGTAACAGAAGATTGGATATAAGATTGGAGGGAGAGAGTATGAAGGAGGTGAATGTATTTCAGATATTTGGGAGTGGACGTGTCAGGAGATGTCTGTAAAGGATGAGATGAATCATAGAATTGACAAGGGGAAAAAGGTGAGTGATGCACTGAAGAGTCTGTGGAGACAAAGAACTTTATTAATGAAAGCAAAGACGGAAATGTATGGGAGTTTATTTATACCAATGCTCTTGTATGGGTGTGAGGCATGGGTTGTGAATGTTGCAACAAGTAGGCTGGAGGCAATAGGGATGTCATGTCTGAGGGCAATGTGTGGTGTGAATATAATGCAGAGAATCCAGTTTGGAAATTAGGAGGAGGTGTGGGATTACCAAAACTATTATCCAGAGGGCTGAGGAGGGGTTATTTAGATGGTTTGGACATGTAGAGAGGATGGAACGAAATAGAATGACTTCGAGAGCGTATAAATTTGTAGTGGAGGGAAGGCGGGGTTGGGTCGGCCTAAGAAAGGTTGGAGAGAGAGGGGGGGGGGGTAAAGGAGGTTTTGTGTGTGAGGGTCTTGGACTTCCAGCAAGCGTGCGTGAGCGTATTAGATAGGAGCGAATGGAGACAAATTGTTTTTAGGATTTGACGTGTTGTTGGAGTGTAAGCAAGGTAACATTTATGAAGGGATTCAGGGCAACCGGCAGGCCGGACTTGAGTCCTGGAGATGGGAAGTACAGTGTCTGCACTCTGAAGGAGGGGTGTTAATGTTGCAGTTTTATAACTGTAGTGTAAAGCACCCGTCTGGCAGGACAGTGATGGAGTGAATGATGATGAAAGTTTTTCTTTTTCGGGTCACCCTGCCTTGGTGGGAGACGTCGATGTGTTCAATATAATATATATATATATATATATATATATATATATATATATTATATATATATATATAAATATATATATATATTAATATATATATAGAGTCTCCTTGGGAGTGTATATAATGGAGACAGTAATTAACTTATGGGCGTATACACCTCGTAGTGTATATACCTGGTAATTTAATATTTCGTAGTGTACAGTATATACTTGATAGTGTATATAGCTGGTAATTTACATATCGTAGAAGAAATATATAAAGTGAAACACGAACACACTCGGCGGTGATCAAACACCGGGTCTTCCATCAATCAACTTTCTCCACTAATCAACCACCAAACTACAATTTCAACCACTACAGTAATCACTTGTACACAATCACCCCAGGGTATCGTACACTCTTCCTGGGGGAGGGGATGCACACTGGGGGGTCTAACACGTGTTAATTAGGTCCACTGACAGACCTACACACAACACACCACCCTCTCTGAGGGATCAGTCCAGTACTGGGGTGAGTGGGCACCCAGCACGCCGACCTCTAGAGTGTACCGTAGCGCCCGCCAGCGAACCTCATGCGCCCGCCAACGAGGTATCGTGCGCCCACCAACGAGGTGTCATGCGCCCGCCAGCGTTGTGTCGTGCACCCGCCAGAGAGGTGTCGTTCGCCAGCCAGTGACACCTCATGCGCCCGCCAACGAGGTATCGTGCGCCCGCTAGCAACACCTCGTGCCACCGCCAGCTAGGAGTCGTGCGCCCGCTAGCAAGGTGTCGTACCCCCGCCAGCGAGGTGTTGTGCATCTACCAGAGGGTTTCATGTGCCTGCAAGAGGAGTATCGTGCACCCACCAGAGGGGTATCATGCGCCCACCAGCGGGGTATCATGCACCACCAGAAGGGTATCATGCGCCCGCCAGCGCCGCCACTGCAGTGATGCCATATTCATCTCCACAACATACCGCCACTGTTGCCAACAAAGGATAATCCATTGAGGATCAATTTCCACTTTGGTACCTACTGAATGTTAGTTGAACCATGGTAGCAGGTGAAAGGTGACTAACACCCAGGTACCTACTCACTGGTACGTGAACAGCAGTAGCAGGTGTAAGGTGACTCACACCTAGGTACCTACTTACTGCTAGATGAGCAGGGACAGCAGGTGTAAGGTGACTAACACCCAGGTACCTAATTACTGCTACCTGAACAGGGACAACATGTGTCAGGAAACTAACACCCAGGTACTTGATTACTGCAACCTGAACAGGGACAACAGGTGTCAAGAAACTAACACCCAGGTACCTACTTACTGCTACCTGAACAGGGACAACAGGTGTCAGGAAACTAACACCCAGGCACCTACTTACTGCTAGCTGAACAGGGACAACAGATGTCAGGAAACTAACACCCAGGCACCTACTTGCTGCTACCTGAACAGGGACAACAGGTGTCAGGAAACTAACACCCAGGCACCTACTTACTGCTACCTGAACAGGGACAACAGGTGTCCGGAAACTAACACCCAGGCACCTACTTACTGCTACCTGAACAGGGACAACAGGTGTCAGGAAACTAACACCCAGGCACCTACTTACTGCTACCTGTACAGGGACAACAGGTGTCAGGAAACTAACACCCAGGCACCTACTTACTGCTACCTGAACAGGGACAACAGGTGTCAGGAAACTAACACCCAGGCACCTACTTACTGCTACCTGTACAGGGACAACAGGTGTCAGGAAACTAACACCCAGGCACCTACTTACTGCTACCTGTACAGGGACAACAGGTGTCAGGAAACTAACACCCAGGCACCTACTTACTGCTACCTGAACAGGGACAACAGGTGTCAGGAAACTAACACCCAGGCACCTACTTACTGCTACCTGTACAGGGACAAACAGTGTCAGGAAACTAACACCCAGGCACCTACTTACTGCTACCTGTACAGGGACAACAGGTGTCAGGAAACTAACACCCAGGCACCTACTTACTGCTACCTGTACAGGGACAACAGGTGTCAGGAAACTAACACCCAGACACCTACTTACTGCTACCTGTACAGGGACAACAGGTGTCAGGAAACTAACACCCAGGCACCTACTTACTGCTACCTGTACAGGGACAACAGGTGTCAGGAAACTAACACCCAGGCACCTACTTACTGCTACCTGTACAGGGACAACAGGTGTCAGGAAACTAACACCCAGGCACCTACTTACTGCTACCTGTACAGGGACAACAGGTGTCAGGAAACTAACACCCAGGCACCTACTTACTGCTACCTGTACAGGGACAACAGGTGTCAGGAAACTAACACCCAGACACCTACTTACTGCTACCTGAACAGGGACAACAGGTGTCAGGAAACTAACACCCAGGCACCTACTTACTGCTACCTGTACAGGGACAACAGGTGTCAGGAAACTAACACCCAGGCACCTACTTACTGCTACCTGAACAGCGGCGTAAATTTAAATAATACAATAAAAAATAAACACCGTAATAACGTAAAAAAAACAATTAAGAAAACAAACGAAGTGTTTGGAATAAGGACGATCAACACATTTCCTGTTTGGCAACATTGAAATGTGATTGCCCCGTCATCAAGCAGCCGCAGTTGTCGTACCGCATCAATAACAATACAGACGGTCTTTACTACCTATTCAGCTCCTTAACCTCAGCCTTATTACATACTACAATAATTGTAATAAAAGTAGTATGATATATTACTAACAAAACTCAGAGGGGATTTAATAGTTTCGTACACTCAGAAATATGTTAGTCAAGGTTACAGTCACTCAGAAACATGTTAATCAAGGTTACAGTCACTCAGAAATATGTTAGTCAAGGTTATAGTCACTCAGAAACATGTTAATCAAGGTTATACTCGCTCAGAAACATGTTAATCAAGGTTATACTCGCTCAGAAACATGTTAATCAAGGTTATACTCGCTCAGAAACATGTTAATCAAGGTTATAGTCACTAAGAAACATGTTAATCAAGGTTATACTCGCTCAGAAACATGTTAATCAAGGTTATAGTCACTAAGAAACATGTTAATCAAGGTTATAGTCACTAAGAAACATGTTAATCAAGGCTATAGTCTTTCAGAAACATGTTAATCAAGGCTATAGTCACTCAGAAACATGTTAATCAAGGCTATAGTCACTCAGAAACATGTTAATCAAGGCTATAGTCACTCAGAAACATGTTAATCAAGGCCCCAGTCACTCAGAAACATTAATCAAGACTCCAGTCACTCAGAAACACATCAATCAAGACTCCAGCCACTCAGAAACACACTAATCAAGACTCCAGCCGCTCAGAAACACACCAATCAAGACTCCAGCCACTCAGAAACACACCAATCAATACTCCAGCCACTCAGAAACACATCAATCAAGACTCGAGCCACTCAGAAACACACCAATCAAGACTCCAGCCGCTCAGAAACACACCAATCAAGACTCCAGCCACTCAGAAACACATCAATCAAGACTCCAGCCACTCAGAAACACATCAATCAAGACTCCAGCCACTCAGAAACACATCAATCAAGACTCCATCCACTCAGAAACACATCAATCAAGACTCCAGCCACTCAGAAACACATCAATCAAGACTCCAGCCACTCAGAAACACACCAATCAAGACTCCACCACTCACAAAAAACATCAATCAAGACTCCAGCCACTCAGAAACACATCAATCAAGACTCCAACCACTCAGAAACACATCAATCTAGACTCCAGCCACTCAGAAACACATCAATCAAGACTCCAGCCACTCAGAAACACATCAATCAAGACTCCAGCCACTCAGAAACACACCAAGTCTTCTCTAAATGATCTGAGGAAGATGTTCCAATATTGGTTCTGATTCTTGCCCATCAGATGTTCAGTAGCCGGAGTGGTAGAGAGTTGGGTCTGTCAATTTAAGAACACAGTTCGAGTCTCCAGGCCATGCTTCTGCGTTCAATCAGGCGAGTGGCCGGACCAGGAGCTGGATCACCTCACACAAACTCACATAGGTGCTTACAAACACACACACACACACACACACACACACACACACACACACACACACACACACACCACAACACACACACACACACACACACACACACACACACACACACACACACACACACACACAACACACACACACACACACACACACACACACACACACACACACACGCACACACACACACACACACACACGCACACACACACACACACACACACACACACACACACACAAACACACACACACACACACACACACACACACACACACACACGCACACACACACACACACACACACACACACACACACGCACACACACACACACACACACACACACACACACACACACACACAACACACACACACACACACACACACACACACACACACACACACACACGAAGAGAGGGACGAGATTGTAAATTTTCAGAGAATAGGGGGTACTCGAAGGAGAGAAAACCGACCAATCAAGCTGATTCTCAGGACGGAAACAGTGCGGAACAGGATCCTCCAAGAGAAACCACGATTGAAATACTCGGAAGAGTACAAGAGGGTGTTCCTAGACAGAGACAGAACAAAATCAAACGACAGCAGCTGAGGGAGAGGACAAAAAAGCGAAGGAGCTAGGAAAAGAGACAAGGAGGGAACCAGCAGAGGTCAGTCAGAGCAGGACAGAACAGCAAGGGCAAGCACACACACAACTACTCTCAGAACCATACAACCTATCACACCAAACCCAACACACCCTACAATCCATACCCACAGCCTCCACCCAACACCAAGCTATAGAATCCCACAGTGTGCCACCAGGTCTCCCACCCTCACAGGCCCCCCAAACCACAGTGTTGGAAAGGAAACTGAAGGTATGGTACACAAACGCTGATGGAATAACAAATAAGTGGGAGGAGTGGCAAGAAAGAGTCAAAGAAGCATCACCGGACATCATAGCTCTCACAGAAACCAAGCTTACAGGTATGATAACAGATGCCAAATCCTGAGGAAAGACAGAGGGAACAGGGGGGTGGGGGAGTGGCGTTGCTGATCAAAAATCGCTGGAATTTTGATGAGCTGAGAGAGGAGATAGCGGAGAAGAAAGTGATTACATAGTGGGAACACTTCACTCTGGAGGTCCCAAGGTGGTAATAGCAGTGATGTATAACCCACCACAGAACAGCAGGAGGCCAAGGCAAGAGTACGACGAGAGCAATAGAGCGATGGTTGACACACTGGCTAGAGTGGCCAGAAGAGCTCATGCATGCAGGGCAAAGCTCCTGATCATGGTGACTTTAACCACAAGGAGATAGATTGGGAGAACTTGGACCCACATGGGGGCCAAGATACTTGGAGGGCTAAGATGATGGAGGTGGTACTGGAGAACTTCATGTACCAACACGTAAGGGACACTACAAGAGAGAGAGGAGAGGATGAACCAGCAAGGCTGGACTTAGTATTCACCTTCAGTAGTGCAGATA